GGGCGGCGTTCGTGCGCCGAGGCCACGGGGTAGGGGGAGCCTGACCGGGAGGCGAGTAGCTAGGAGGCTGCGGGAGCTGGACCGGGAGCCACTCTGGGAAACCCGCATCTCCCAACTGTGCATGCCTCACTTGTTCGGGGAGTGGTCGCGATCCGAGTGAGGACAGGGGCCTGGCTTTGCAGAATTGAGACGAGCGGTCCTGCTTGGACGCTGTGTCCCCGGAGTGAATTTGCGAAAGGCGTGCATAGGCGCCTCCGGGATCCTGGGAAGGGGGCTTTTGTGGGGAAAGTTGGCTAGCTGGATCGTCAAGAGGGGGCTTCCCGGTCGGGTCGTCGTTGCCGAGGGGTTGGGACCCCAAGCCGTGCTGGTTGAAGGGCGTTCCTGCGGCAGCGCAAAGGCCCCGCGACCCGACAGCGCGCATTCTAGGAGGGATAGTTCAGGGCAGCTTCCTGGAGCAGTGGGGAAATTCGTGTTTTTCCTCCCCCATTGTCACTTGGATAGGAGAGGAAGCTCCTGCCTCAGCCCTGGTGCCTTATTGTATACCTCGTGTGTGTCTGTGTTCTGTGTCTGTTTTCTCCTTCCTGGGGGTATTTGTCTTGTCCTCGGCCCCGGTAGACTGAAACTTGCCGATATCCTTAATGTGTATGATGAGGGGGGAAAAAAAATTCAAAGAATCTAGAGGAATCCTAGTTTAGATGAAATTTTTGGGATTAGGAATTTGCCCTCCACCCCGGGGCCGTCCTGCTAATGTGGGTGCTAAGGGCCTGTCATCCACCCTGCGAAACAATGAGGGTATATCTGCCCTCTCCAGCCCCCATGTCCCTCTGGCAGTTTCACCCCTCCCTCCTTTTTGATAAGGATTGACTGACACAAAGCTGCTTGCTGCTAGGAACTGGAAATTTATTGAGGATAGAATGAATTCAGATCACAGCAAGACTCCCTCCACTCATTGGCTAGAAGGTCTTCAAAAATGCCTGCGCTTTTTTTCTTTATTATTAATGGAGGAAAATGTAAAGTTTTCCCAGAAAAAAAAGCCTTTGGGAGTGTGGAGTGATCATACATATGGTATGTTTACTTCCTGTATCCCAGGTTATTTTCCAAGGAGGAGGGGGCAGTTTCTGATGGGAGGGCTTTTTTTCTCCCATCCACATAATTCAGTAAAATAAATCAAAATCAGATGTTCATTCTTGAGTAGGAATCAGATGAATTTGGATTTTTTTCACCCTTCTTTAAACTGGTACATCTGGGTGAACTCAGGCTTGTGTATCTTGGCATCTGGGCTTGTCTAGTAATAGAAGACAAACTGTTTAGCTTGTTTTGGCTGAATTTTTGGACCCGTTTCACAGCACCTTTTCTTTTCTTTTTTTTTCTTTTTTTTTTTCCATCTGAAGGATTGGTCGGAGGAAGAAAGCAAATATTTAAAACAGTGTTTACGCTTTGTGGTTTAAAGTCAGGTGAGAGATAATTATGACTTTTGAAGCTGATGACCTGAGGCCCATCATTTGATGACTTGGGGATTAGCAGTTTGGAGGTGACATATTTGAAAGAAAGAGGATTGCATAAGGAAGGAAAGACAGGAAAAATGAAGTTTTCCCTGGGAAAAGGCTGTGCCTGAAAACCTTGGGAGGATAATAAATAAATAGGATTTAAAAGTAATTGTGTGGCTTGTGTCTCTCAGCAGGAGGGCGAAAATGAAAGCAGGTTGTAGCATCGTGGAAAAGCCAGAAGGAGGTGGAGGTGAGCAGAAGCTAATTGTCTCTAATGTGCCTGGAATGTCCCTCAGTGGTTCCTGTTCTCCTCACTTGGGCTCTGTTCACAAATGTCAGACCATAACTGACAGCCTCTTGACTGGGTGGATACTGCTAGGACAGTCGTAGGCTTGTTTCCTATGGATGCATATTTAACATGTCTGGTCACCACACCCGTATCCCAAGTGTTAGAGTCACTTTCCTGCTACAGACACAGTTCCAACCTTGGGGGTAGAGGGTTTTTAGCTGTATTTTCCTACATTAGTTTATCTTTCCTGCTTGTTCCCTTTGGCACTTTCATGCCCTCATAGAAACTGGGTGTGAGATTTAGTAATGTATGAAAGGATAAGAGATTAGGACACCTGGGTGCTGCTGTCCAACTCTATCAGATTTAATGGTTGCCACAAGAATAGTTAACTTCTGTGCTTTCCTCTCCCTGTTATGGTTAGTCCTAGCTGACTGAAAGGGTGTTTATGGCATGTGTGCAGAACACTCTAGAGATCCTGAGCAGTGGAATGAGTAGTTGAGGGTGCTAGTAGGTATGAGGGGGGACCCCAAAAAAACCCGGAATTTATTTATAAAATGTTGTATATTTATTCTTACGTGTTTAAACTTCAGTTACCTTCAAAGTACTCCATTTGATGCAATATACCTGTCAAGATGCTTTTTTCCACTGCTCAAAACAGTTTTTGAGCTTGGCAATTATGATGCCTTTTAGTGCTTCTGCTATTTTTTTGTTTTTCCCACTTCCACATCAGCAAAATGTTCCCCTCTGAAGACTTTTTTCATCAGGAAAACAATTCACTCAATAGGGAGAGTAAGGCACAGAGGTCATGCTGTTTTTGGTTAAACAAACAAACAAAAAAATTGCTGAACACTCAGCATGGTGTGGGCAGGTGTGCTCGTAAATCAACCGTCACGAAATTGTCAAATGTGTTGAAAGACTTTCCAAAAAAACTTAACTGAAGCCAGCTAAGCCTCTTATAACAATGCTAACTGATACACTGATGTCAATGGGTTCTTAGAACACTTACCTAGTGAGGGGAGCCTGTACTATAAAGGGTCAGCCCTCCAAAAAATAATTCTGGGTCTCCCCTCATGTACCTAGCTCCTAACTACCTTGATCTTACCCTTTTTGTGTTAAAAAGGGTATCAGTTTCCTGATTGGGCCTACAAAACGGAGTCATCCCCAGGCTCCCGGCAGATCCAGCTGTGGCACTTCATCCTGGAGTTGCTGCAGAAGGAAGAGTTCCGCCATGTCATCGCCTGGCAGCAGGGAGAGTATGGGGAGTTTGTCATCAAGGATCCAGATGAGGTGGCCCGCCTCTGGGGCCGCAGGAAATGCAAACCACAGATGAATTATGACAAGCTGAGCCGGGCCCTAAGGTAAGGGAAGGGATTCCCAAATCTGTGGTGTTAACAGATTAGGAGACAAAGCAGTTTGGTAATGTTAGATAAAAAGGGGTATCAGATGATAAGAGACTACACTATCTTAGTGAATAATGTGTGGCTTTAAAGTGGGAGTAGAAGAGCTGTTGAATCTGAGTAGCACAGGCACAGGAGGAGAAAAGGCATATCTTTGGTTATATGTAGGAGGGAATTCCAGTGTGGCTGGCACTGGATCCTGACAGACAGCCGAGTCTGCTCTATGGTGGGCGAAGGTGTATAGTGAAACATGGATTGGAGCTCATTTTATAATCCAAAGGATTCATTTGGATTCTCTATCAGGGAGCTATTAGAATTTCTCTTTGGGCTTTCTTGGAAGAAACTAGAAAAGAGTAAAGCAAGCTCACAGGAGGAAGGCTCCCTGAATGGTACTGGCCTGTCTCTTCAGGAACTCAGTTGTCAGTTCATAGGTTGCGCCAACATGTCTAAAGATTGTTCACTATATGCTTTCTCGGGTTCTCTTTTTCCCCTTGACAGTCTTTACATTTCATAACCCTTTAGCCCTCAAGGGGCCAGAAGGCAGTTTATGACCTGTGCTACTGGATAGATATAAGGCCAAAGGTTCCAAGTACATTGAAGTTCTCTGCCTTTCTTTATTCTTAGTGACCCTGAATGTAAAAAACTGTGCAATGGCTATGCTGGAGCATCTCACATCCCTTTGAGTCTTTGAAGGTGAAGCGGGCCATGCTGGCTGCTGTTTTCTAGATCAGTGCATGCCATTGTTTGACCTGCTGCCGTAAAAAAGTTCTGCATTCCTTTGTCTATGCCTTGATCTTAGGCATCCAGACTAACCACATCAAGTCTAAGTGTCCCACCTGGGCAAGACAGAAAGAAAAACTAGGCAGTTAGTGACATGTAATAGAACAGGAAGGAAATGAACTATAGAGTTGAAATTGTAGAAAGATGGAGAAGAAAAATGGTTGGGGCTAGGATAGGTATTCAGAATCTCAAAGTGAAGTTGTCTTTGTACAGCTCTAGTAAAAGATTAGAGCTCAGTTGATAACTAAATGAGAAAAGTAAGCTCTTAGGTTTCCTACCTCCAACCAAGAGGGCCAGGCTGTAAAAGAATGATAGTGATATTTATAAGTAATATTTATAGCAAAAATTTTTGGTCCTAGTGGTTACATAGGGATATCAAAAGCTGTCAATAGTTACAAGATAAATTGACATGCATTGCTGTTTTCTTACAGATACTATTACAACAAGAGGATCCTTCATAAAACAAAAGGGAAAAGGTTTACTTATAAATTTAATTTCAACAAACTGGTGATGCCCAACTACCCATTCATCAATATCCGGTCAAGTGGTAAGATGCAAACCGTCTTGGGGAATGAATTTTGAGTTGAAAAAAGAGAATTCAGCCGGGCTTGGTGGCTCAGCCTGTAATCCCGCACTTTGGGAGGCTGAGGTGAGGGGATTGCCTGAGCCCGTGGGTTCGAGAACCACCTGAACAACTTGGCGAGACCTCATCTCTACAATAAATCAAAAAACTAGCCGGGCGTGGTAGTGCACGCCTGTAGTTCCAGCTGCTGGAAGGCTGAGGCGGAAGGATCGCCGGAGCCCAGCAGGTCGAGGCTGCAGTAGCCGGGTGCACTCAGTCTGGGTGACAGAGTGAGACTCCATCTCAAAAAAAAAAAAGAAAAAGAGAATTCTAAAAACCCAAGTCTAAGAAATGATATGTTTAAGGAGATTTTAGAAACACTGAAATAACGTGATCCTTTGGATTGCCTCGATAATTCTTGCTCAAGTCTTCTCATTCATCTCACTCATAAAGAGAGTAACAGATTATATAGATTTGTTTGGTTTATTTATTTATTTGGTTCCTTTTTTTTGACATATTATTTATGAACTTCTGGATATTATTATACTATTCTGTTTGGGAATGCTGTTTCATAGGTTTGTGTTGATCTTTCAGTTCAGGACTCAGTTTTACATACTGCCCAGTGGCTCTTTGATAGATGGGAACCTGTTTCTACAAACACTTCCGATTTTCTGTGAAACTACCAAGCTCTCACTTATCAAGTGAATATCATCAAAACCACAGCATCCTTGATCAGAGAAGGGGAGGTTCACATGTTTGCAGTGAAAAGCAGTGTCTTTGATCTGTGCTAGCAAGTCGCTCAAAGAATAAGATGCTGGGGTTACTTAACCTCTTCTTTTAAGTGCAGCAGGGCTTCCCCTCCTGACTCTCCAGGTTCTAACTTTCCATCACAGCTCCTCACAGAGATTTGAGGTCTGCTTCTCTTGATGCAGATGACAGCCTCTTAAGAGGTTTTGTTGTTGTATGTGGTGTTTTGTTTGTTTGTTTGTTTGTTTGTGGGGTTTTCTAAGATACAAATTATACCCCCGCCCATGAAAATACAGTAGCCTTCCCCCCATATTCTAGGGATATATATTTTTTAAGACTCCCCCCCAGCGGATTCTCAAGCCATGGATAGTATGATGTCTTTTTTTATACATACCTGTGATACCGTTTAATTTATAAGTTCAGCACAGTAAGCGATTAACAATAGTAAGAACAGTTTTAGCAATCTATTGTAATAAACCTGTGAATGTTTTTTCTGTCTCAAAACTTTTTTATTCTTTACTCACCTATTTCCAGGCCTCCTTGGGCAACTAAAACAGTGGAAAATGAAACCTAAGATAAGGGGGGACTACTGTAGATTGTATTTAACTGTCTTCTGACCCATCTATCAATGCTCTGTCTTTGTGGTCTTGTATGTTAAGGGAAAGAAACCTGACCATGATTCTGCAGTAATACAGCTTCTCAGAGCAAAGTTGGAAGAAACCTGAAAAATAAGAGCTGGGGGTGTGGCTGAGAGAATATAATGTTGAGATCCATTGCAGATATGTAATTACTACACACAACAAGTTAGGGCAGTTTTAGCTTGCCTCTGCTATCATTACAGTTCCATCTCCCCTTCTGTAACCACTCCCTCCTATCCCTGGGGCATGCATTTAAAAAAAAAAAAGTGGTGCTGGAATGCATCCTTCTAATTACAACCTGTTTTCTTTCCTTGTGCCTGAGGGAGAGGCGTTAGGAAATCAGGCCTGTCCTGGCCACTGGAATCTTGTTTCCTCTATTTCTCACTCTTACCCCTTCCCTATGCGCCTAGAGGAATTGAGACTCTAGATTGGTATACCAGCAGTTTTAAAGAATGTACTGATATTCATACTCCTTTACCCTACCCCCCCAAAATATGTTTTATAGGTCTTGTTTTTCTCTCTTTGACCCATTTTTGTCTATTGAAAACTCAGAACTCCAGTCACCTGGACAACCTAGAATGGGGCATCCAGTAGCCCTAGAGAATTTGTAATGTGGTTTTCCAGGGCAAGGAAATCTGGACCCTCACTTTGAAGACTCTGATCTGGAAACCAAACAGTGGTGACCTAGCACACCTGTGCTGCCTGAAGGCAATTAAACCAACATTGATCCTTGACCAAGCTCAAGATCTTAATCAAAAAGTCATAAGGAAAGCAAAACTGTACATTTCATTTTAGGCATGCTATTAATACTTGTTCACCTAGCTACAAACAACTCCAGAGAACTAGAGTCCTTAATTTACAGAGAACTTTTACCTATGAGGACAAAGGAATGTAACATTTATTGAGCACCTACTCAGTAGAGGTACTTTTACGTAGTGGTTGTGTGAATTACCTCATTCAACGCTTTCAGCCCAGGAAAGTGTATGTCTCATTGTCCACATTTTACAAATGACACAATTATGGGATGATGGCAGCAAAGTTAAAGATTGGTCAGAGTAGATTGAATAGTTATCTGTTGAACACTTTCTTAGGAAATGATTCCTGAGAGATTGAGCTATTGAAATCTAGCTCTTATTTGATAGATCATACATTCCCCCTCTAGATTGAGATTTATTTATTTGTTCAACAGATAATATGTTAAGCCCTAAAGACAAAAGATTTCAGAGGAGTTCTTTCCCTGAAGGAGTTTAAAGTTTAGCAGGAGAGATAAGATATACCAGGTTTAATACAATTTAAAATGTGATAAGTAATCTAAGTAAAGCTGCATGGATTTAGATCCTGGAGGCCAGAGAGATGTGTCAACAACGTAGGTTGATACAAGTGGACCATTCTGATCTGTGTTTTTAAAAATAAAGGCAATACGTGGCTAATTGTAACATAGCCAAATAGTACAGAATTGCATAAAGAGATAAATACTCAATCTTTTCCCTTCCCTGTAATCCTACTCACTGTTAACAGTTTAGGGTAAAGTGCTTCTGTGTACAGTATCTCATTTTTATCATTTAAAATATCCTATAAAATACATTATTACATGTATTTTAATATTTTCTTACATTTGCATAAGAAGCATTGGAAAGATAAAGAAGATGCTAGTAAAAATGGTTACCTGTCTGGGTATGGGGCAGAACAGACCAGTTCAGGGATAGACTGGAGACCCCAGCCTGTGCCTCCCTAACCCTCTTCCTCATCCCCACCCCAGTTTTTTATACTTATTTTGGAAAACTTCAAACTTACAGAAAAATTAGAGGAACAGTGAACTTTATCTGGATTTACTAATGGTTAATGTTGTAGCCACATTTGCTTTATCTCTTTCTATTTATATGTACTTTTTAAATCTTTTGAGATTAAGTTGCAGACATCATGACATTTCGCCCCTGTGTACTTCAGCTTGTATTTCTCAGGAACAAGGACATTCTCCATAACCACAATAATATTACCACACCCAAAGCACTTTAATATTGATGTCATACTATTATATATAGCCCATATTTGAATGACAGGTGTCTTCTTAAGTTTTGATTTTTATACCATGATTACTATCTAATAAAAAAATATTTTAACAAGTACATGCAATATTCTTTGCACCAGTACTAGTCCCAGAGCTTTACAAATATTAATTCTTAATCCTCATAAAGTTAAGATTGGTCCTATTACCTATTTTAAAGATACGTTTTCCAGAGGCACACAAATAATAAGCGGTAGGACTAGGGTTAGAGCTAGGCAATGACCTTGTGATTTCCCTTTTGCCAAAGGGGGTCAGACCCTCCCATTTGTTACTTACACTAGGCCACAAGGTAGGAGGTGCCAGAACTGAGATTCACACCCAGTCTTTTCAACTCTCCTACTTGAATTTCATGGTGACTTCATGGAGGTGATCTTTTTCCAAAGCAGTAGGATTCAGACTTTCTTTTTTAGCAACAAACTTTTTTCCAAGCAAAATCTTAGATTTGGTATCTCAACATATAATATATAAAAATAGGGCCACTCCAGTTGTCCAGAGTTAAGAGGCCAGAGTGCTCCCTTCCCAACGTTTCTCCTAGTCTTGACTACCTTTTCTGTGCCTAAATACATTTGGAAAATGTAACTTGTATCTCCTTACAGATTATGGTATATCTTAGCATATGCAAAGACTAAGATATCCTCCAGTTTTTTTGTGTGTTTTTTTTTAAAGTAGATTTAATCAAACACATTTCTAAGTTACTTAGGAGACAGGCCCCTCCCTTCCCCTGCACATTATACTTCTGTCCTTCTGAATGCGTAGAATTGGATTTTTTGTTTTTGAATATAGATGTGCTCTTAATAAAAAGTCAAGATCGAACAGCCTGGGCAATTTGGCGAGATCTCATCTCTACAATAAATCCAAAACAATTAGCCAGGCATGGTAGCGCACGCCTGTAGTTCTGGCTACCTGGAAGGCTGAGGTAGAAGGATCGCCTGAGCCCAGTGGGTTGACACTGAGGTGGCAGTGAGTGTGCCACTGCACTCCAACCTGGGCGACAGAGTGAGACTCCAACTCAAAAAAAAAAAAAAAAATCAGCCGGGCTTGGTGGCTCAGCCTGTAATCCTGCGCTTTGGGAGGCTGAGGTGAGTGGATTGCCTGAGCCCACGGGTTCGAGACCCGCCTGGGCAACTTGGCAAAACCTCTTCTCTACGATAAAGCAAAAAAATTAGCCGGGCGTGGTAGCTGTAGTTCCAGCTACTTGGAAGGCTGAGGCGGAGGGATCGCTGGAGCCCGCTCCCAGCCACTGCACTCCAGTCTGGGCAAAAAAAAGAAAAAAGTCAAGATCAAAAGAATCAAAAAAGGACAGAATTTAGCCACTAATAAAGCTAGGAGAAGAGATACTTTTGGCCTGAGACCTTATTTGCTTTAGTCAAATCATTTGAAAAGTCTGAAATTGGTGGCTTTAAAAAAAAAAAAAGTTCTGCAAAACAATGGAACATCAGTTTGGGAATTACTGCTCTGGTACAATGTCACCCAGTCACATGTACCTAGAAAGCTGGTCTTAATACGTACCCACAGACTCGAGTCACATCTGTTATACATAGAGTAGAAGGCACCAGCTGATTGAGAGCAAGTCCTGACCTCACATGCACCTCCTGGTTCACTATACCTATTTTTATTTCTTCTTTTCCCTTTCCCCCCCCCTTCTTCCTTGCTCATCTCTGCATTGGAGTGTAAAGAACCCTCATGATTAGGAGCTACTAACACCTCCCAGGAACCCACGTGGTCCCTGAGTCCTCAGATGGCATACCTTTCTCGTGCCTTATTTATCAAGAGGACCTTTGGGAGAATTCGAAAACTTGTGAACCTCTAAGGTTGACATGATTAGCACAGTGTATGTTATCACTTAGAGCTTCAAATTTTAGCAAGCAGACTTGAGAAAATGAGTAGTATGTCCTGGATTTTTTTCCCAGCCTTCTCAGTGTTTGAAAGCAGGATGGAAATGGAGATCCTTCCATAGAATTTGCTAGGGCATTATAGATTTGAAGAGGTTGTTTCAATTATTTGAATCTGTGCAGTAGGGATTGTATATCAGAAATGATCAAAGGCATGCAAAAAAGACTTAATAAACATACAACCTTTTTGATTAATCTGTTTTTACTAATATACAGTCTTTTTCGTGTTTGTGAGGCACAGGGTTTGGGTTTTTAACCCTTTGCACTCAGTAAATCTATTATAAATAAATTGTGAATCTAGTAAACCACACGAATGTCCCCTCTAAAGAGATTGCTGGTGATTATACAGGACAAACTTAATGTCTCACTTGAAATTTGTCAAACTTCTGATTGATCAGTTGAAAAGTGGTTTTTAGGAAATCAAGAGTTCATCCTTCCACATTGTCTTTGAACTAAAGATCGGACAATAAAGTACGTAATAATGTGGGAGGAAGAAAACAAGACTGCATTGTCTGCTGAAATAGAAAAACACCAGGTGGAAGAAGTTAGACAAATTGCTGCTTCACCACATGTATCAATGAAACTGCAATGTATGTCGGTGACTGTTTCTCACATTACCACATGTTAGAAAAACATACAAAATTGTAATTTTTTTGTCATAAATAAGTTCCTCGATGTCCAAAATTCCATGATAAACCAAATGTCACTACAATAAAATAATTAGTTCCAACACTATAAATGTATTATGAAGTGATTCATTTTCACTATTTCGTAAAAAAGTGGTCGAGTTGCTAGTAAGTGATATGTGATGTATCTCTGGGTACAAAGGGTTAGTGCTTTATATACATGTTATATCCAGTTTTGCTGGTTGTTTTTTTGTTTTGGTCTGGTTTGGTTTGCTTGCTTTACTGATGTGGCCAAAACTATGAAAATAAGACTGTTTACAAAGGTAAAAATTGAGACAGATAATATATACACAATTTTTAGAGTTACTGGGGATAAGGCTATTGTGCACATTCATTCATTCATTCAACTTAAGATTTATTGCAAATTACTTATTAAACCCTGAACTACTCGGAGTACAATTGAAAACAGTAAGAAGTTCCTGCCACATAGAATTTAGGTTTTAGAATATAGAGAAGCAATTCGTGATAGTTCAGACAGTAAGACAATAAAAGCCCAGAGAAAGATGGCGACTACAATAAGTAGAAGCAGCTGAGCAATAGTTACAGGAAGATGGGGAATTGTGCAGTTCAGTTCACTTGGAATGTTTGTTTCCTGCTGCTATTAAACATTTTGCAGTTGGTTAGAATAATTAAAAGTGGATTAAAAATGACTGGATTTCTAATGCAGCCTTTTGTCTCCACCACCATCACAGGTGTGGTTCCTCAGAGTGCACCACCAGTGCCAACAGCCTCTTCCCGGTTCCACTTTCCACCTCTGGACACCCATTCTCCAACCAGTGATGTGCAGCCAGGGCGATTCTCTGCCAGCTCCCTAACTACTACTGGCCAGGAGTCGAGTAATGGTACTGATAGAAAGGCAGAGCTTTCAGAGCTGGAGGATGGCTCAGCCCCTGACTGGCGCCGGGGCATGGACCTCATATCCTCCAGGAATGCTGTTGGTGGGGGCGGGATTGGCCATCAGAAACGCAAGCCTGATATAATGCTTCCTCTGTTCACCAGGCCAGGGATGTATCCTGACCCCCACAGTCCCTTTGCTGTCTCTCCGATCCCTGGCCGCGGAGGTGTCCTTAATGTCCCCATTTCACCAGCCCTCTCCCTGACTCCCACCATCTTCTCCTATAGCCCATCACCAGGCCTGAGCCCCTTCACCAGCAGCAGTTGCTTCTCCTTCAACCCTGAGGAAATGAAACACTACCTTCATTCTCAAGCCTGTTCTGTGTTCAACTACCATCTGAGTCCTCGGACTTTTCCCCGTTACCCGGGGCTCATGGTCCCGCCACTGCAGTGCCAAATGCATCCTGAGGAGTCAGCTCAGTTCTCTATCAAGCTGCAGCCCCCACCAGTTGGGCGGAAGAACCGGGAGAGGGTGGAGAGCAGCGAGGAGTCCACACCAGTCGCTGCACCCGCAGTGGCTCCTATCCCCCCGAGAATTAAGGTGGAGCCTGCCTCCGAAAAGGATCCCGAGAGCCTCAGGCAGTTAGCACGAGAGAAGGAGGAGCACTCTCAGGAAGAGGGCACTGTGCCAAGCAGGACCAGAGAAGAGGAAAAAGGCACCATCTTTGCCCGCCCTGCTGCACCACCCGTCTGGCCCTCCGTACCCATTAACGCAAGTGAAGAACCCCTGGAGGTGACTGAAGACAGTGAGGACAGGCCTGGCAAAGAGCCCAGTGTGCCTGAGAAGAAGGAGGATGCCCTGATGCCCCCCAAGCTTCGGTTGAAGCGGCGCTGGAACGATGACCCTGAAGCCCGGGAGCTGAGCAAGAGTGGCAAGTTCCTTTGGAACGGGTCAGGACCTCGGGGCTTGGCAGCAGCGGCTGCCGATGCTTAGGACTGGATGTGGATGGGGAGCTGTCTATACTATAACCCAATACATGTATTTATGTAGCAAGATTTTGGGGGGGAGGGAATTAGGCTGGTTTGATCATTCTAGGGGTATAGACTTGTATTTTATGTTTGGGTTAGGGTGGGGTATCTTCTGTTGTAAATGAGGTGGGATATGAACACACTTTTTTTTCTGGTAAGTAGGGAGGGTATTGAACTGAAAGGAAGAGGAGCCTCTGTTTCCTGTGAAGGCTTACACTTTCTGACAAGGAAACTTCTAAAGGGCCGGGTTCCTTTTTGGTCCCATGACAGTTCAGGTTCCAGACTTCTTTCTTTTCTATTGTATTTATATATGGAAAGCCATTACTGAATTTGTTTTGCTCCAAAACATATACATAAAAGGGAAAAGGGCGTGGTTGGGAGGTTGAGCAGTGGGAGACCATTAATACGAAATATTTTGCCTGAAATGTTTCTTTATAATTACTTCAGAGGAGGAATAAGATAATCTCAGTCTTAATGGGGTGGGAGGGTGGGGGGGGTGTTCAGATGTCACTCTTTTTCCTTTTTTTCCTGTTTTTTTTTTTGTTGTGTTTGGTGGTGGTTGTTTGGCATTTTTCTTTTCCTTTTTAAAAAATGTCTTCAGGAAACACGAACGTACTACCAGCTAGAGTAGGGCTGGGAAGGCACAGGAGCTGGCACCTGTCAGCTGTGTGGCTAAGAAAGGAAGCCCTGCTGTGAGTTTTTTGGACTTTTCACCTACTTCACCTATTAAGAAGCCATGAGGAGTGGTAAACTCTTGTTCAGGGAAGAAAAGAGGGCAGGAGGAAGTAACCCAATGCCTTTAAAACAAAACAGATGCTCCATTTTTCCTTTTCCATTGTGGGTTTGGAGAGCCAAACCAAAGTGTGACTATGAGTGAGTTCACTGAGAGGCCTGACAATGTTATTGATGGTGTCTTTCCATTATGTCTGGTTCTCTTACATTCTCTTAAGTCAAGCCTTAACTATGAACATACTTTAAGGTGATACGGGTCTGTCAACATAAACCTGTAAAAGGGCATGGACAGTTTTTCAGATAATCCAGGAATGTTGAGACATGGTTATATTTCTAGCTGATACATAGTCATTCCCTTGATGATGTTGGGGTTAGTAGCAAAAGGGGACGATTGTGGGATCAAGGGTTGATGATACCTGAAAATGCGGAAGGTAGCAGGGGGTACAAGTGGATGTTGAGACTGAAGGAAGAGGTGGAAGGAAGACAGAAGGCAGCCAGATACCGGGAGGCCTGGTGCAAATGAGAGCTGGTGTCCTGTTGTGTTGCCGTTCTTGCCATTACCCATTTGCCTAGATCGTTCGGTTCTCACATTCTGTTGACTATCCTGTGTGAGACTACAGGCAGTTGGAACTTGTTTCTTCATGGGCTGTTCCCTTCCAACAACTTCACAGGAATGAGAAAGTATTAATCTTATGAGAGGCAGAGGGGCCTGGACTAGGAGCAGAGAGACCTTGTGTGTGTGCACAGGTGCCTGCAGACTGCAGCTCACGTCCACCCACGTCTACAGCATGGCAAGGAAAAATCATATCTGATGAGGGGAATAGGTGGCACAGGGATAGTGTCTAGGAATTGGAGAAATTCCTGACTCCACCTTAGCCTAGTGAACTCTATACTGAGTAACATTTGAAGCTGTCTTCTAATGGGGGGTGGGTTCTTTTTTAAACTATACTGCTTGTACAAGAGGGGCTCAGGAAAGGTGGGCAGGTGAGTGAGACAGTGGATGGCATGGGATAACTTGAGTCCGTCATACTACTTTTTGGCAAGTGTCCTCCCCCTTGTGTAATTCCATTTCCATGAGTGACCTGTCTTTCCCCAGGAAAGGGACTGGGAGAGTGGTTCCCAGCAACTCAGGCATTGGTCAGACTGCCTTTGGTGGTTGTGCTTTTGTCAGTTTCTTTCTCTGCACTTCGACTTACCTCTGAACCAGAAAGCAATCCCAGCAGGCGGAGGGGGATCTCTGCTTGGCGTTGCCCAATCTAACCAGGGAGGCTAGCTGACCGCCCACTGTCCGCTGGGGAGGGCCAGCAGGTGTCGATATGAACTCAGGAATAGAAACATGAGGCCTTTAAAGTAAGAGGGGAAGAATCCACGATGCACACCTGTAACCCCTAGAACCCAAGTGCCAGAATTAATTCCTAGATGCTGCTTCTGTTTGGACAAAAAGTCACTGCTTTTACACTTGAAAAAGTGCTCAAAAAACGTTCAACTCCTTAACAGATATTTTTTGGCTTTAAGAAATTGGTGTTTAACTGTTTCCTTCAGTTGCCATTCCACCAGTAAACTCTTGGTTTGCACTGCACACTGGGGTTGGACTGGGGGAGGATCCCTTATACAGAGCTGAGCTCAGACTTGCTCAGGAAGTGGACCGGGGAACATAGAGGTCATTGAGACTTCTGGAGCAAAGGACTGGGAGATAGTTCCTCCTCTAGCCCACTCCTGGCCACACCTGTCACCAGCCTGGCCCACAGCCAGGCCTTTCTCTTCTGCAAGTATCTCATCACTGTCCAGCAGCAGGTGGGGAAGGGGGACAAAAACCAGACCTGTTTTTTTCCCCCATTTTTTCCCAAGTTTTGCTGTCCTAAATATTTTTAAAAACTTGCAAATATAAGTCTCTTGAAATTCTATTGATCAAAAACATGTTGGTGTAAAGTTTGCTTTTTTTTATCCGTAGAAAAAGCAAGCAGTAGAGATCTCTTAGGGCATCCAGCCTTACTGAGCTCATCTTCTTCCCTGAATGGGTAGGAGTGAAATAGAAACACTTCAAGACCCCTCACCCTGGTGTTCAAGCTGCACTGCATTAAACCCAGCTCGCTAACACAGGGAACCACTGCACCCCAGTCCTCCCCGGGCCAAGAAACTTTCAGAAGCATTAAAAAAGTTGAAGTATGTCCCTTCTCACCAAGGGGGTAGAGTCAGCTGGCTGTTTGTCCCTTGTTTTTATTTATTCCATAATTATGTTTGTGCTTTGTTTTGTAAACAGTAATGGAACATACATTTTTATTTTGTTTATAAGAAAACTTTGATTCAGTCTTTCAAAAACTGTTTCATTCTTGCTTTCTTCTTAGGGAAAAAAAAAAGTTACCAGTTAATTTGTTTTGAAATATTTAGGCATTCTTTGAATTATAAAATTGTGATGCAGGGATTTGTGAATGAGACATTCACACGTGAACGATGATGTCACTAGCTGTCCGCTTAAGCAGAATAAAGTGTGTATATGTACATAAAATGTAAGTAATCTTAACTCCATTGTGCAGTGCCTTTAGATGTTCCGCTTTCTATAAAGTCTCAAATTTTTGCATATATATTATATATATGATGTAATGTTATAGAAATATATGTATAATATACATATTTTTTCCAGGGGTATCTGATAGCTCTGTATTTTGTTATGGAAGTTGAAAGAAAAAAGTATTTTACCTCAGAAATTAAAGTTAAATAAAAAAATACTTTTAAGTAATGTTTGCCAAGTGTTGGTTTTGTTGTTCATTATACACTGTTCCAGAGTGGTCATGCCAGAGAGTTTACCAGGTCTGTGCTGGCTCACCCACCCCCCCACACACACACTTTTTTCTTTCCTGCTGCACAGGGACCAACACTGTGAAGAAGTAGGTCTCCTAATGGTTTGGGAGACTGTCCATTTCCTTGAATGAATGACTGCTGCTAGGTAAAGGAAACAGAAGCCAGAGACACAGTGGGGTGGAAATTTCTATCTCAAGATTGTTGTGAGGATTCATTAAGAGTACATGTCAAAGCTGGATGCGAAAGACCACACATTGCCTGGTTTAATAGCCACGTGATAGAGACTGAACACAGATGAGTGGGAAAAGTGGGGAGTGACCGCTAATAGGCACATTTTCTTTTTGGAGTGATGAGAATGTTTAGGGCTTGGTAGCAATAGTTGTACAATTTGAACATAACAAAACCACTGAGCTACAGTCACTCTGAAAGGTGGTGTTTATGGTGTATGAATTATATTTCAATAAAGATGGTTTTGTTGGTGCTTTTTGTTTTTTGTTTCTCACCCAGGCTGGAGTACAGTGGCATGCTCACGGCCACCGCAGCCTCTCCCTGGGTTCAGGCAATCCTGCCTCAGTCTTCCAAGTAGCTGGAACCCCAGGCATGCACCACCACACCTAGCTAATTTTTCTATTTATTGTAGAGACAGGGTCTTACCATCTTTCCCAGGCTGGTCTTGATCCCCTGGACTTGTGCAATCCTCTCGCCTCTCCTCCCAAAGTGCTGGGATTCCAGGCAAGAGCCACCACGCCTGGTACTTTTGTTTTTAAATTCATGGCAAGGCAGTACTAGGGAAAAATAGTGTTTCTCACTAGAGGACAAGAATCCAGAGGGGTAGGAGGGCATCGTGGTGTGACATTGAATAGCATATAGCACACCTTAAGAAAAATGCCAGCAGGTAATTCTCCACCCATGGGGGACAGGTAAGGTGACTCAGGGTCTCAACATGTCAGTGAACTCTACTAAAGGTTCCTGTGAGGCCAGGTGTGGCTGAGGCCTGTTATCCGAGCACTTTGGGAGGCAGAGGCCGAGGATTGCCTGAGCCCAGAAGTTCGAGACCAGCCTAGACAATTTGGCAAGACCTTGTCTCTACAATAAACCAAAAAATTAGCCAGCCGTGGTGGCCCACGCCTGTGGTTGCAGCTTCTTGGAAGGCTGAAGTGGAAGGATTGCCTGTACCTAGCAGGTCAAGGCCGTAGGTGGCTGTGAGTGTGCCACTACCCCAGCCTGGGTGACAATGGGACTCCAACTCAAAAAAAAAAAAAAAGGTCCTGTAAGTAGTTAAGGATGGAATTAAGTGTTGAGGGATGGGCTGAAGAGGCAGACTGGGATGGGTCATGAAGGATCTTAAGACTTAGCCTTTTATTCTAGCAACAGCCAACCCCAGTATTTTGCAAAGACTCTGGGCCAGGCCAGTGAGGATCGTCAAAGGCCATA